AAGATCAAAACTACAATTAAAAAAATACCTTTTGTAGACAAAAAATTATACCTACTCTTCCAAAAATTCGGGTACTGGACCGTAAATTCATTGGAAAATTTTTGACTGAGAATATTTTGCTTGGAAAATCGTGTATTCGGCATGAAAGTCTTCATAAATGTCAACTTTTACAACTAGTCTTAATTTCTCAAATATTTTTTTCAAACGGTTGCACACTGAGTTTAACTCGTTTTACTCCCTTGCGGTTGCCGCTATCCAATTTGAGGCTGGAATGGCTTTTATAACTACTTCTTCGGGCTTGTTGGGGCTTTAGAAACTTTGAAAATATACATCGGAATTGCGAAGTTTTGGGCAAATAAGTGTACAAACAATGTGGGTAGTAGTTTAAGCCTCTCTAACTCCAAAGTCCATTTTCTGCGAAACTATATACGACCAAACCATGTCAATGAAAAGTGGCGTTTTGGTCTAAATTCGACTCTTAAGTGAAAAATTGGCACATTTGCGATTTATAAAAATTCCGAAGTTTTCAAAAGAGAGATAAATTATTGGAAAACTTTTTTTAAACTATTGAGTTGCTCCCAAAATTATATTTTGAAGTGAAAAAAATCTTGGTACGCCGCCAAACTTGTAGCAAAAGAGCGCGTTTCCAGAAACAACCAGCGCTGAACTCTTTGAAAATTTGAAACGAAATGAACTCCCTGGCGCTAAGACGGTGACCATGAAATTTGGCACTGAAATAGCTTTTTACGCCAAGTCTATGGGATTTTAACGAGTTTCTCAAGTTCTGAAAAATTTTGATAGCTGACCGATAGTTACCGGGTAAAGAGTCGAAGTATTTGCAAGTAAGAGAGTTTTTCGCTTGCCAATATTCAGAGCCCATTTCGTTCCAAGCTACTGCAAATGCAAACAATCTGGATGTTTAAAGCTAAATTTTGAAACTGAGTTATCGAGGGAAAAATTCAAAGTATTTTGTTCGGGAAACGGGAAATCGTCTTCTCAATCTTAAAACCATCATGACTTCCAAGTTTTTCAACTAATCGCAATTATCCGAGATTCAGTTTTGAGAGCAAATCGTACGTTGTTCAACAAATTTCCAAGTCGGCGCGATCATACAAAACAGTTATGCAGAACATTTCTACATACAACAAGCTATTTTTCCAAAATAAGAATGCGACGTTAAATCCACAAAGAAAACTTTGATAACATTTGTCCTGAAATATCGTCTTTTCGACCTTCAAACTCTTATGACTCAAGTTTCTTAACTGATTTCAAGTTTGCAAAACAAGATTTTTATAAAATCACTCGCTTTAAACGAAATTTCAATGATACAAATCTGGTCCGTACTAAGAGTGTTACTTATTCATTCATACTAAAGGATAATGCAAGATCGTATAATAATAAAATAAAAAACTATAAATAAACATAATAATGCAATATATAATTATTAACAATTTATAATATTGAAATATCGATGTTTGTGCCTCACTCAAGTTTGATTAGGTGAATGAGCTTTTTAATTATCTATCGAGTTGTAAGAAAACGACATGATGTATGAGCTGGTGGCTCAATTTTCCTAAAACCTCTTGAAAGAAAACTATTGTCTAAACTTTGCATTTTCTAGAAAAACTCTTGGCCGAGTTTCAATTAGTGAATGAAACATTTAATTCTTAATCCAGTGATGTGGAAATAAACTCTCTGTCTCATTTTCTTATTCAGATATGTTTGAAACGATGGCTTTATCGCCAACATTTTTGAAAAAATTGTCAAATTAGTTACAATTCGAGCGTTTTTTATAGCTGCATGTTCGAACTCTATGGGACGTGTGGAATAAAGTGTTTCAAGCAGTAAAACAGTTTAAGTACATAAATAAATATTAAGCTGTTTAGTTCAAATTTCCCAGAAAAATGTGTAATATTCAAATTTCACTTTTGTGTAAAATCTTCCATTATCTCCTACCTTGAGTCGCACTTAATTGGTAGATAGTTTTGTCTCAATGAAGTTGTAGGAAAGTGAACGCTGCAGCTCAAAGAGTTTTTCAGATATCATGAAAAAAGTGGCGTCATGTTTGAGCTGATGGCCGATTCTGTTGAAACCGCGTAATTTTGCTAATCCTTTCTCAGTTATGTTTCACTTGATAAATCTGTTATATGATTATTTATCCAGTGTAGTAAAAATTAGCACACCAACTTATTTTGTAGCTCAGATATGAGTAAAAAAGTGGCGGCATGTTTGAAATCATGACCTTTTCTTTTTTCTATTTTCTACCTGTTGGAAAAAATCTCTTTGCTAAACCAAATCGAAACCTAATTTGATTTAGCATTTGCCTCTAAAGATGTTAGTCTATTGCGCTTCGAAAAGTCAGGAAAACATTTTATCTGATCTTCAAACAAGTTAACATTATTTTAATAAGAAACAGCTTTATTTAAAGCTATGGTTAATAAAAATCGCAACATCTATAAATAGCAAGAAGTATATTGGTTTTAATTAAAATTGCCGGTTATACTCGTACTTATTTAAGAAATTACATTTGATTTGAAAATATTGGCTTGCCGATTAATTAAATCTGATTAGACTATTAAAAGGTGTCTATAAATATAGCTCAACGAAATCCCTGCAAATGTTTAAAAATTCCTAATAAAATTGTGGTTAATATTAAGAGCCCGGCGTTTCTAAATGCAATTGTGGTTTTACTAATAATTACTAGTCAGCCAAGACTGTTTTCTTACTTTTCGCAGCATCCTTTGTCATAAAAAATGTTACTTGTGAGTCATAGTAATTAGTATCTCACTTGCTTGCTGAATATTAATGAATTTACTGCATACACAGTTGAACAGACAGTTTTTCAATAAAGCTAAGTTAATATTCAGTGTGATTCATTGTTAAATATAAGTTTATGTGATACAGTGTGTAGCGAAACCATTTAGAACAGGACAATGAATGTGATTTTTGTTAAAAATATTCTAAAGTATTATGTGAATTACTTTTGTTATATTGTAGTATAAAAAATATAGCATAAAAGGCCGTTCGAACAAGCAGAATTTTTCAGTACACATTAACGTTATCGTTAAACGAAATCAGTGAGTAGATTTATAAATTGCATTGGTTTATGAGCATGGCAACATAATTAACTTGATAACACCTGAATATGTTAACCCTGAATAAAGCGCAACTTCAAATTAAGTGTATTAAATTTGTTACAAAGAAGTTGATTATACATTTTAAAATTGGTTCAATTCATACATAGGAATATTCATATATTAGCTTTAAAAAATCAATCAAAATCATGCTTTTACCGGTGGCGATGGAGTAATCCAATGTACTGGGCGGCTTCCATAACACGTTAAGTTATAGCTTTCGCCTGCAGGAATAACAGGACTGTCTGCATTGTCGTTTCCTATAATCACCGGGTTGTCTCCAAAGGCTGAAATTAAAAAATGGTTGTGGAGAATGGCTTTGTCTTTATTTTTACTGTAATTTTTAGAGTTTCAGTCATCATAATTATAACTTTAACTATGGAGGATACAAATTTTTACATAGCGCATCTGCTTTGTCAAATTAAATATTACATTCTTGCAATTGATAAATTAATTATTTAATTTGACCATCTTGTCGAAGAATTCTTGAGAAAATTTTGCCATTCCCACTTCACGTGGAAGCTCAAGTAACTAGCAATAAGCTTGGCAGTTAAAAAAAAAGTTCAAACTCCTAATTACTGCGAAGGTCTCGGTATTCACACAATAATATTTTTAGCTAAATGTTTGTTTATAAATTTCACACTAGACTATCAAGATTGGTTTTGAGTCATGCATCTACTAGAACATGTGTACGCACGACTGAAACGTAGATTATTTGAAAAATTGATATCTAATCTTGCAAACCGGATACAACGCAAAGCCAACATGGATACTGTGGTTTTATGCCCGTTCTTGGTTAAACCGATGTGAATGGCCATGCCAAGAAAATATCAAGAAATTCCACATCCGTGTTTTTACATAGAACCATTTGACGTAAAAGGTTTTCAACATTTTGTTAAAATTATGTTGCAAAAATATTTTGCAAACCTTTTAACAAACATATGTTGTAGTAACAGCAAGATCTTTACTCAAGCTTCGGCTTTAAATTTACCAGGTGCATCAGTTTATAGTAGGAGAACTTTAATCGACCGAAGATCCAGAAAATTGACAAATTGAGACATTTTTTAATCCTTTTAGAATATAATATTTTGGAGCTTTCCAGTTCCATTTTACAGTAGGTAGGACCTACACACCATTTAGTATTATTATTTTGGAGACTTGCAAGCTTTTTAGACCAACGCGCGCAAAAGTGTTTGTCCCAGATATCTTCGGAGGCAACAGTGCGTAGAATTAGTGTTCAGAATGCTCTCAAAATCATAATCTGGAAGACTCTTAATTATCCTTATGGAATATAACTCATAGGAATGAATAATTGGAGAAATGATGAGGTACAGAGTACAGAGGATACACAATTTGCTGCCAGTACGAAAAACGGCCATAAAAATGTGTGCTCATAAAGAATACAGACAATGAAATACCGTTAAGGGAATATTGCAAAAAAAAACCCCACTCGTGTAAGATTTGGAATAAAGTCTAAAGAGAGAAGGCACAATATTTCGAAGTTCAAATTTTCATATAGACTAGTGTTCAGTTAATTGCAAAATCATTTCAAGTTTCCGTTTGGATTTTGCGATTATTTATGCATGAAGGAGTTTGAGAATTTCGTTTTGAGAAATGATTGCAACGAAATAGTTATTTTTGTAGGCACTTAGAGTGGAATATTTATTTTATGAGTAGAAAGCGGTTTTTTCCATTTTCCGATTTTCCAGAAGTTTTCAAAATGACGTCGGGTATTTGTGTTGTTAATTGCAAGCAAGCTGGAGTTTAGCATTTATTTTCTCTGTCATTTCCTAAGGGAGAAAGTTCCAGATTGATGCAATTTGTAGGGCAAGATCAGTTTCCAAGCCGGAGAAAGTTTAGATTTACTTTTTTTTTTGTTTAGAACTTCTTCATGCAATTTTTGACAATTTTTCAAAACTTCGTTTGGTTTATGAGGTTGCTTAAGCAGGCCGGAGTTTGGCAGTTATTCATTCAACTGGAACTAACAAAGTGCGAGATTATTTTTTGTTGGTAATTTATAGTGCCAAGTTTATTCTACAATAGATCCGCCCGTCAAAAGTTTCCGCCATTATCAGGCTATCTTCAATGTTGCATGGAGTTTTTGCGGATATTTAAGCAGATCGTAGATTGACATTTATTTCCTGAGAAATGTACAAGGTGAGAACGTTACCTTTATTTGGGATTTGTAGGGCAACATCTGTTTTATGAGTGGAACGTTTTTTTTTTAATTTTTAATCATCCTCAGAAAACGTTTGCGAAACAAAACAAATATGTTTCCGCTTATTTGTGCAGATACCGGTCAAGTCAGACAGCGACTTTCTGATGAATTTTCTTGAGTATATTCTGCTTTAAAAGAAGGAAAAATGTCGATATTCGAGTCTTCTACAAGCTATCTTAAAAATGTATTAATTTTACTATTTACAATTTGCGGTTGTCTATGCAGTCTTAAGATTGGCAGTACTTTTCTCAGAAACCACTGAAGTCGAAGATTTACCTTCGGGTCTATTTTATAGGGCAATATGCGTTCTATGTGTGGAAAAGGTTCGTTTAGAGTAATCATCTTGACACTGTCAAGATTTTTTACTTTGCTATAGAATTTAGGGGTTGCTTATGCAGGACTAACTTTGGCATTTATATTCCCAATTTCTAGAAAAGATGGACAGTCACATTTATATAAATTTCGTAATGCAATGTGTGGTATAAGTGTAAAATTATTTGACAAAAAAGGCTGGCGTTTGAATTTTCAGCCTTCGTCAGGCAATTTTGGACATTTTATATTTTTTTTTATAAAAGGCATGGTAAGATCTGCTGGCAACGCGGCATACAACCAAAAGCATTTCCCAAACTTAAAATACATACATATATAATTGTTATTATCTTATCTGCAATATCGTATTTAAAACAGACTAAGTAATTAATAAATTAAAAATATTAGTTGCAATAGAACTCCTTTGTTCGTTCTTATCTACCAAAAGAGTAGAAACGCAAAAAATGTCCAGTCTTTTTCGTCAAATCTTAAATTATCCACACATCCACAATCTCGTAATATTCCGCAAATAAGTTTAATGGCCACTCAGAATGGTTCAACCAATTTTTAAAAGAATTAATAGCATTTTCAAGGTTAACCAAACCAAATGTTTCCTCTGGAACCCAGGTTTAACAGCATAAATATTTAGAGAAGACAATGTTAGAAAAGCTATGGAAATGTTCACGCAAATAAGTTTTTACATCAATAGAAAATTTTGGCTTTGTTTATTTGAATTATTACTTATGAAAAACAATCGGGAACTGTTTGCGTCCTGCTATTTTAACATAAAATATGCTTGCTTATTGCACACATTCATTCTAAGCATTTCTGTAAAACTCGATATTAACCTGTATTTAACTGAGAATAAATGTTTATTTCAAATGCCTAGTAGTTTGCCATTTTCTAATCCGTTGTTCTTGTTCTAATCTAAGAGAAAAAATAAGTAAAAAATTATGAAATGGTATGATAATTCTTTCGTATGCAAGCAGGCACTCCAAGGACGTGTTTGTGACCTATTAGTTCTTATTACTGATCAACAAAAGCCGGGACTTTGATGAGCTAAAATGAAGCACACAAATTAGGGAAATCAGTCAAAAAAAAGAGTTTATTTCCTGAAAGAAATTCTTCCTAATTATTATAAGACTATAAATTTGATGCAAACCACATTGTTAATAGCTTCCTGATCCATTATTAGGATTGATTTAGGTAAATAATAGGCATTTGGAACTAACTTATTTTAAGTAGTCGAAGGTCTAATTATTTGATGATTGAAATATTACTATTTCCCAGTAGCATAATTTTCAGTAAACATCAACCCGTTTGAAATATGAAGAGTATTAGTTAACTTAATCACGATTCTCTGTCCTACAAAATATAGGTTGATGGCATTTAGAACATGGGAGAGGCATTGGAAGAGAAGGCAAACGTGACGAAGTTTTTTTGCATTTTTTCTTGAACTTTATTTTATAACGGGAAAAGAAACATTTCCAGTTGCCGGCAAGTTCTGAAAATTAAAAAAAAAAAAAACCTCTTAAAACTTTGACATAGTACAGCACTTTTCCAAAGAAACCGATAAGTATAAATATTTGTTCCCCCCATAAAGGTTTTATATTTCTCTGATGCACTATAAAACTTCTGGTCGGAAAAAGCATGTTTTATAAAAATGCCATTTCAGGTTTATGTTCTAGCGTTGCCTAAAAATAGTCATTAAGAGAATGCAATAATAAACTACTGCTTTGTACAGGGTTATTGATTGAACTTTGGCCACCCCGTTTTTTAATCGAATTTTAAATTTAGAGAAAAATATTTAGATATAAGAGTTGTGGATAATAACGTCTAGTTTACTTTAAGATGATACAAATTTATACCGGGTGTTTTAAATTCAAGTAGTAGACCAAACTTACATTTTTTTAAGGAATGACACAATTTTTATTGCATATTCGAATTGCGGTCTGGGAGTTACGAATTTTTGTTGAACGTAACTTCAAGTTGTACATGTTTTTTTCATTTTCCGTCGAGTTGAAGTGGGGATTTTAGTCAAATTTGGTCCACTTTTCTATCGAAAAGCGAACATAAAGCACGATATATTTAATTAATAATAATAAAGCACCATAATTTTTTTGATGTAAGTGGTTTGGGAGGTACGAATTTTTGGCTAACTACACTTCAAGTTGTACGTTTTTTTTTTATTTCTCGTCAAGTTTAAATTTTTTTGAGAAATCAGTAGAAGTGGGGATTGTTGTAAAATTTGTCCGGTTTCGGATAAAACATTGTTTTATGATGCGAAAATTTGATTGATAAAAAAAAATCCTTCTTCCAGAATTTTGCGTACAATTCGAACATGCAATAAAAAGTGTGGCATTTCACTGAAAAAAATGTAAATTTGATACGCGGCTTGAACTTGAGATAACTTGAGATAACTTGAACCCTGTATAAATTGGTAGTATCTTAAAATAAACCAGACGTTATAATCTACAACTTTTGTATTTAATGTTTTTTCCTAAATTTCAAATTAGATGTAAAAACGGTTGGCCAAAGCTCAATCAATAACCCTGTACATTTGAATAATCAATAAACAATAGGTACGTAATTAAGACGTCAACGGTCTGCTAATTGAAACATGCGAATTAAAGCACTAAATAGCAAATGTTTGATTTCCTAAGAGCAGATAAAAAATTGAAACAGGACAAGGCAGTGGAAAATCCATTAAAAATCCCGGGCAGTTGCTGCAATTCCACCCACTTATGTAGTATCGTAACGATAATTGACATTGTCTATAAACAGTCGGAATTTACGATGAGAGCGTATTTAAAATCAAATCACATTTATGTATATTTAATGTCAGATTATCAGTATGCTACCATTATGTAACATTTTATTGTGAAACGATAATTCACATTCGCTACATCAGAAAGTTCATTTATCTATTTGTATGGCAAATATCTGGGGATTTTAAGGATTAGATAATTTTATCATCTGTTCAATGCTGTTTTCGATGCAATTTACTTTTTTGTTCTTTTTAGGTTTTTTTAAAAAAATTAAATAACGGTTTGTCAATTCTCGAATTCCAAGAATTTTGAAGTTTTTGAAAACATGGCCTTTCTGTTCTGCTATAGCAGCATCAGTGCTTCTTTTTGCATATTTTGTTCACCATATCGCTTTGTTGTTCCTCAACGTAATTAGAAAAGCAGTAAACGATGCCTATTTAGGTTTGTGTATCAGTCAAGTATAGATGGTGGCAAAAAATGAAACACTATTTTTCATGGGCCCGAAATCAGATCAGAGAAAAAAATCAGAAATTAATTTAGCTCTTAGAACAGATGCTCAGGTTTCTGCTGAATACTAAAACTATTTCTTACTAGTAGTATTTTACGATCAGCTCTTGTATATCACCTAAGATAGTTTGGTATCCATCGTAATTGGTATGTTGCTCTCACTCGTGGACATTTCAGCGAATATAACCGAATACAATCGTTGCCATTCGAATTAAACTTTTATATTACGAGGGCGATTTTAAACAAATGCAAATTTTGTCCCACCAACTCGAACTTTTGGTGGTTATAAGCGATTTGCTCATACTTTCGAATGCACGGAACTTAAAATGAAGTTACTCCAAAATGAACTTATGTGCTTGAACTAAGGTGACTAAAAGGAATAAGGAAAAGGCCAGTGAATGTTTACTTTGCAACACATTTTCTTGTTTTCAGGTTAATTTAATCATGATGAACAAGGTATAACATGAAATTCCGTCAATTCATGTCACTTCGTGCAACTAGTAAATCGGATTCGTTAACAGTTGATAACGCATTACATTAGAATTAATATTCATGAACGTGTAAGGCTTTTAAAGCTTCAACTACGGTCAAAATAAACTCCATCAGTTAGTCATTGTATTGAATTAAAAAATAAATTGTTGAAATTAATTTCATCAAAAGGAGTCATAAACAAATTTGCTACAGATTATTTTGTTTACTCCTCCACTCCATTTTTAACTATTTAAATTGGTTTCAGAACTGATTTATTCAAGTTTGCCAAAATTTATATTAAACGTAGATTTTTTTATTTACGTAGAAAATTATATTAAACGTAGACTTCAGTAATTGTTTAGGCATGTTTTATAGATGCTCTTCTTTGGCAAAGAATGGGTTTCTTGCCTGTATTGAAGCAAACCAACCATTTTTAAATTTTTATTGCAGATCATTTGCAAAATACAGTGATTTAATACGACCAAGGTCCGCTACTGTAATTGAAGGAAAACATCATCTTTAAAACAGGTGTTGATCGCCACTGAATAGACGATTAAAAGTCGATTACTTATTAACTTGTGGAAATAACTCATGTACAAGAAAGACATGTAAAAGACATTTCAATACAAAATAGACTTTATTTTTCTAAATTTCATTTTGCTTTGAGTAATTTCGCGGGTATTTAAGGATCAATTTACACTCACAAAATTTAAGTACATACAGAAAATTCTTTCACAATTAATCTTCATTACTTTGGTTAATGAAGGTTGAACATTCCATGTTAATTTACCTTTTCTGACATGAAATAGAACGACGAAACACCACAATAAGTAAAATTCCCTCATCTTAAACCAGCATGACGTCACTGTTTTCATACATTCCTATTGTTTTCGCGTTTCTTCGATTCGCACTGGCCTCGTACAGTAACTGAACTTAAAGCGACTTCATAGAAAACTCGAGCTCGACTAAGCTAAGTCACATACGAACTTAAACCTGCTTAAGTGCTTCAACGTAAATGCCGTCCGTATTCGTAATTCATAATTGGTCTTGATCAACTGGAAAGAGAAAGCAACCAGTTAATTTGTCACATTATTTCGTTGCGCGATCATCAGCTTGTAGTTTATTTACTATGTAATTCCAACAATCCTTGATTACCTGAGAAGTCGTATATATCATATTTATCAAATTTTCCATGTGTAATCATATAGGTAAGGTATTTCCCAATACAATTGTTTTGGTTGAGATTTTGATGATATTCGATACTCACATTATTCAGTTCAGTAATTTTAAGCCGACATTAGAACAAAATTATTTTAATGAAGTGATTGAGAACATTATAACCTAAATGATATATACGAACAGAATTATACGCTGAAGAAAACCAGGTGCTACTGAGATCTTAAATTAAAATATACATGTGGGAACAGTCGCAAAACTACACCTTATATTATTTGGCTTCGTAGTTTAAACTAACTTTAATTAGCAAGACCGACTTTACATGCTCTACGGTTAGATTGCTTCTATTTTTACCTACAAAACAAAACATGCTCTGAAGAACGATCAACTGAGAAAATGAGATCATTAAGTGAAACATTTTTAGTTTTATAAGTAGTGTTTACCGCAAAAACATAATTTCCAGAGAAAATGTCTAGTTTTCTTTTATTTATTTGCACGATAGGCTGTCGAATAAGATAATTTTTATTTTAAGCAAAGTATATTAACATCGAACTGTGGCATTAAATCTACCCAAAGGAAAATATGTAATTTCTAATATATATTTTATTACCGATTTGCCTGTTGGGCAATAGTAAGACATTTTGAAAGAATATTTGTTTACAGTGTATCTAAGCCAATAAACCAATTTTTGAATTGAAATTATAAATAATAATGGTAATGCTACCTACATAATTGTGGTAATTACTACTTTTCTTTCAAATAATTTCAATATTTTTTACTCTATCATTGATATTTTATTGCTTCTGAAAAAGAAAATTTAGTATTTTTTCTTACAAAAAATGTATATACCTACTTTATAAGCAGTAATAGATTACAATTAGTTCCAATATTAATTCAAAATGGTGCGATTTTTCACCAACAAAAAATTTTCTTTCAAAGTTGTATTCTTAGGATTTTTTTTTCATTTTACTAACTAAATTGCAATGACGCATGATGAAAGAATGATGGAATGAATCATCGTAAGCGCCGTTAACGCTCCAAATACTGAAGAGATTTTCAGAAAGTATCACTATATTTTTTTATTTACCTTTAAAGTTGATGCATTTTGTCGATCTGGGTATAGACTGTAGATTTTCAGCCTATAGGTACCAAGTCTCGAGCAGCAGACAAAGATCGAAATGGTATCGAAGGTTTCTTCAGCCTGCAGAAGGCAGAAGGTTGCTCGAGAGCCATGACTCATTTTAAATTCCAATTTCCAATAATTATTCATTTCTCCGTCGTTACGTTCTGAAAAAACTGCTAGTAAACTCGACATAGTTTACGTGTTTGGCTCTAAACATTCGTTTCAGTTCGCATTTTTTCTCAGTTGATTATTCGGTTTACAAGTAATATTTATACTTTTTTTACTCGTTTTTTGGAACCACACGATTTTTGATGATCAAAGAAAGTGATCATATTAGCAGTCAAAAGTATTTAATCCATAAAAACGGAAAAAGTCAGTGAAGGAAAGCGGTTTTTTGGGATTAATATTAAACAATTTTTGTGTATTTAATTTTCTATTAACCTATTTCTATTTTCTTTATAAGTATAACAGCTTTATAATAATCATTTGATGCAAACGAAATTTACGCTAGTTACTACTAATTCAATTAAATTTAATAGTTTAGTAAAAAGTCAAACAAACATTGTATAGTATAAAAAATAATAAACACACCTTTATATACTAGCAAGTAAAACTACTATATATTTTATGTTTCGTTTTGTATGCTTTTTTATTTCACATTGCAATTCATTGTGTATACAACAAATATTTTTGTCGCTTTTTGAGTGATATCTTTTAAAAGAAAATAACATCAAACGAAGCAATTTAGATTTGTTTGTAAGTATATAATTCCTTTACCTTCAAAGCCAATTTTATCACCTTTCTATGCAGTTGCATGCAACACCAATTTCATGAAGAAAAACCATGTATTCGTTTTCAAATATAATAGACATAAACTGAAAAAATCAATGATGATTTAATTGAATTTGTCGTCTTTATGGCACTTATTTATAGCTCTAAAATATGTTATAGCTTTTCACTATCACATTTTTAATGGTTTCGAGTTTTCTGTCGAAATACCACTTTTTTTGTGATACTTTTTTATAAAATAATCTTATTCACAAGTCAACTGAGTCGAACGAATCAACGTTAATATTTACATATTGATTATGGTCATTTATTCCATTGTTGTGTTTAAAAGGGCGTTTATTATCCTTATCTTGAATTTTATTAATTACTAAACTCTTGTATTGGGGCATTGTGACATAATTATCGAGTTCCGCTTCCTCTATTCGAACCACATTTTTTGGATTCTGCAATTCAGTATTGGGCATACAAAGGTATGTGGGGTTCGAAATACTGTTTATCGGCGTTACAGGAGTTAGATATCCAGAGTCACTTTCCAAATTGTCGCTCGAGTGTAGCATTGGCCTTAGTTCATGCCCTTCTGTAAATTACATAACGATTAGTATAGGAAAGTGCAAATAAATATGTGATTACATTTTTTATTAATGCTCGATAATTCGATGTGCTGAAATATTTCACTTTTTTGCATTTACTTCCGCAATGTAACAGGTCGAAATTAATTTGTCAATTACAAAGTCCTTAAAACGTTTTCAGTTAAATTAAGAAGACATATATTATAAAATGCTTTAACTACTAAAATAAGGCAGTTTTTAAAACGTTTTTTATTTTTTGTAGGTTTCTATAAAAACATTTTCTATCTATTCTTTTATATCTCTTCGTTTTCTATAAACATTTTTCACTAGTCCCGCATGTTATTCCAAACTTTTTTTTTTATTTTTGGACATTCACAAAATGCAGATCAATTTATGTATTGAGTCTCGGTTTACCCTACAAACAATAGGCAAATAATTTTTTTTAATGTTTAAGTTACCCGTATTCTTCATGCTCAAAGGCTTAGGTTTTTCTTAGATTACATTAATTACTCTGGTTGGTTTTGGTATTTATGTTTATTCTCACTCTCTGGGATAGTGAATAATTCACGTATCTTTGTTAACCGCAATTTGAATATCATCGACATAAATGGACGTTTCCTTTCTACCGTTGGATATAAAATTGTCCCAAAAAAATAAAAAAAAAACAGAACGGAAGCAATGTTTTCGGTACTCACCCATATTTGGCGTGTATCGTCCTGCAGGACCATACTTGAATACATTGTCATTCTTGTTTTGTCGAATCGGTTTTTCATTGATATCCATGCAAAGATAACCGTCTGGAGTACCTCCAGTTTTCGGGATTGGTTGCTCATCAGTAGGACTTTCCACATTTACATACCTTGGCGACGGAGTGGACAAAAAATCAAACGATGGAGGACTTAACATTCCTAAGAAGTCCGTATTGTTCATGTTTTCGTTGTTCATTTGAACGTACGGGTCATTTAAATCCACATAATGCTGCAAACACATTCGCCCATTAGTTAACAAATTAACAACTTCTTTGGTCATATTTGTTGAATCTGTTTCGCAAAATTGCAAATCTATCACATATTAAAAAAAGAAAAATGTTTCTTTAGCTGGGCTAAATAATTTTTAGCAACACTATTGAAAACGTAAATTCTAAATTACAATTAGCATCTGGAAATAAATATTAACTTTCGCTCGTGATTGCGATTTAAAAATTCGAGCATATGTTTAGATGAATGATTGAAAGGTTACGATAAAACAAATAATTTGAAAATTTTACCTGACGAACGATATCTTCCATATAATTTCCGATAGACATTGCCAGCTTTTTAAAGGACGGTCTTGCTAATGGTTTAACATTCCAGCAGTCCTGCATTATTTGATATCTGAAATAAATACATTGAGTTTTAATGTAAATGTTGAATATCGAACCTTGAAGCTTTTGTTACACTTTCTGCAAGCGTTTTTATATGGTTTACCTTCAAATGGATCAATTGTTGAGGATCAAAGTGAATGTCTGGGAAACATAAGATTCGCATGTATCATTTTCAAGGTGCATACAATTAATGAGTTAAATAATTCATTAAATAATTAATCTCTTTTTTATATTGAACAACTCAACAATATGATGAGAGTTTATTTGAGTTTGATCCAAATTCTTGCGCTCCAGATAAGAGTATATGTTATGAGAAAAAGTGAACTTTGAAACGTACATATACTCAGGAGCCAGAGGTGGTGATTCCATTCTATAACCATCAACTAGTTTCTGGTATAGACGTTCATCTGCTTCCATTCCAGGATAAGGCGTTCTAGCTAATGAAAAAAATTCCCATAAAACTATGCCATAAGACCATACATCTGATTGGGTTGAAAAAACTCTGTCTCTTAGTGATTCTATCGCCATCCATTTTATTGGCATAGGATTCTGAAATAAGAATAAGTGAATTAATAATATTCATGTATTGTTTGGTATAATGTAAGTTTGAGTTTGTAGGGAGACTAGACAGGTGAGAAAAGCAGAAAAATAATGAACATCTTGAAAGCTTACACATTTGTGGAATAAAACGAAAACGGTTTTTGGCAGAAAAAGAAAAAAACATGTTTTAAAAAAGTAAAAAGTCACGAATGTAACTTTTGACGACTGACTAATATTTATGAGTGAAAATAAAATCAAATAACCATTTTATAACAATCACAAAGGTTACTTTAAATACAGACCTGACATTAATTTCGAGATATTTGTCTTCTGGTATATAATAAGCGTTTAAGAAATACCCACCTTTATTCATGTCAAATAAGCTTTAAGTATATATATTTTTTACTCATCTTGAAAATATCCAAGCAAAAAACAGTCATTATTATTATAATTATTTGAACTTCGGCGCCTCTTGTTTGCAAGAGTTGTATTGGAATTGCATGGTTTTAGTACTTATGAAAAGTTGAATGAAGCAAGTTTTTGTACTTGACTGTGTATTTGATATACACAAAAGCAGATTTCGTTGTTTATACAGTGCGTAGAGACCTACTTCCTCTCACTTATGGATACGAAAAATAAATACACACCAAATTTAGTATTTTTTAATTTAATAAAATAAACGTAATGGCGCATGTTTCTGTCGACGTAATTAATCTTGAGGCCTTTGATATTTAACTTAAACATTCTTGATGGCAGAAATACATTCTAGTTATTTGTCTTTCTGGAACTATATCAAGTTCATCCTGCCTCCAAAAGAATTTTCTGAGCATCAATCAGGTAATCAAAGATTTTCTATCGCCATAAAATTTGAACATATCTTATCTAATGAATTGAATGAAATTCTATCGGTAGGGCCAAAAGAGCTGCATATGCCTCTCACCTTACACAACTTGTTTTATACTTATTTATTTAATAAAACTAATTAACAAATAGGTATTAAAAAAGTAAAACTTACATTTCCTTTCTTTTTATAGTTGTTATCATTATACATGGTTTTGGCCAGTCCAAAATCACAAATCTTGACTACATTGTTGTCGGCCAGAAGAATATTTCTGGCCGCCAAATCGCCATGAAGTACTTTTCTTGTTGCCAAATATTCCATTCCTCTGGCCACTTGGAATGACCAAGCCAAAAGATCACTAGTTAAAATAGGTTTTACGTCGCCTTTATAATCGCCTTTGTAATTTAATCTCCATTCTGGTTGAGCGCTATTACTACTGCTGAGAAGCATATTCTCTTCACCTTAAAAAAAACCGAGTTGGAACAATTTTAGCAAAGATGCTTTTAAAAGAAATAATTTTAATTAAAACTTTTATGACTTTTTATTTTATTAAACAGATCAAAAATATAAGTAACTTTCTAAATATTTTAAATTTTAAATAAGTAAAGTCGAAATTATGACGATATATTTTATTTGGTCTATTAAATTGACCGCAATGTTTGTAGATGTTACACATGCAACGCATTATTTGAGCGAGAGGAACTTCTTTCATTTTTCGAAAAGAACATTTTTTTTTTAATATTAATTTCATATTATCTTCTAAACACAGAATCTTCCTGCATCCGCGGAAATTTATTGAACGCAGATCAGTGAATTGTGTTGCATATTTTCTAAGTTTAAGTCATCATTTTTACATAAAATATACAGACACTTTTAGGATGTCCTGAAGTTATACACAGCTTTAAAATTGGCACCTTATTTTCCCAAGTCATTAATTTTCCTGATTTCGAAGTTCAGAGAAGATAAGTTATTTATGCGTACCAATTGATGTAATTTGAGTATTTCCACTCATCGTGTGTCCTCTGTCTCTATAATCTTGCATAGAATGTGACCTGACATCGTTGCATCTAAATCAAATAAATTTAAAAATAATAAATACAAGCACAAAACATATATGCATCATCGTGTTAACTTGAGTGTGTCAGCTTTTATAGATAATTTTTTTTAATTGGTACATGTTTTGTTGCTTTGTTTGTATATTGTTACCTGCTATCACTGCCCACGGAGTAGGACCTATCTGATATTTCTTGTCCAATATTATAATCGACAACTCCAGTAGCTGGATCGATTTGATCAATGAAATTTTCCCGATGTTTATAAATATAGTTTTGCAGGTTTCCAAAGCGACAAAATTCCACAATAACAAATAGTTCTCCTGAAAATGATATATTTTGTATCAAAGTAAGGCAGATTTGTGCCAGCCAAGTTTCTACATATTTTTGCCAGGAATTTGGTGCCAAATGAAGCAAATAAACTTACTTTTTGCCACATTTTTAGTGCAGGCTCCGAGCAAATTAACCACATTAATATGTTTTCCTAGATGTACCATGATTTTCAGCTCTGAAGCTAAAGCTTTGATGTATGATTGATCTGCATTCTTCTTAACCATTTTTACAGCTACTATTGTTGAAGGTTCTCTTGCAATTATACCTTTAGCTACAGCTTTCATGACTACGCCAAATGCCCCTGAGCCCAGTTGCTTACCTGAATTATTAAGTAACTCTTTTTTATAATATCCAAAACCGCCTGAAGTGAAAATTACCTATATTTAAATGTTCAACTGGAAATTCAAATTTTTTGTCATATGGTAAAAGTTCGGCTTGATCATCAATTCCTAGATCTGGATTGAGATTTTCAGGACTACCGTTGTGAAAATGTTCTAAACCTAAATCCTTCAGCTGCCGTTGCAATTCCTATAAATATTGTGAAACTTAAAAGATTTCAATTCTTCGTTTTAATCAGACCACAACATGATAATTTGAAAAGCTTTGAAATGAGAAACATGTTTATTAGGATACTAGGGAAAGAACAACCGTTAAAATTCGGAGATTAATTAAAAATATAAAACTTACCTTTTCTCGTCTAATTTTGATGACAATATAAATGATAGCAATAATCAGGAGAACGGCAATCAAACCAGTGACGTAGTAATATACAGCAAGAGAGATCTTGGTTACTGAAACAGAAATATTAACAAAAAAATATAAATCTATTGTTCCTAGAAAATTAATTCAATTAATTGTGTTTATATTGTGATAAATTGTATGTATGGCTCTTATTGCTCTGTTATTCATGCTTCTTAGAAACGTTTTAAGTTAGGAATATGACCAAAGTTAATACTGATAGGTAGTAACCCACTTCAATAAATTTTTACAAGAAACACAAATAAAGCTTCATATAATATAATGCTAATAAATGGTTTTTCGTGTAATATTTTTTAATCTGTTGTTTATCTCTGTATTTGCATTCCCGCAAAAATATAATCAGCATTAGAGTATCGATGTTGTAATCTAAATGTTTCAAAGACTCTTTACTGCTTACCTTCAAATTTCAATTGTCCTTCTCGGTAAGTCATACCATTTGAGTTCGATATCTCACATTTATATATTCCTTCATCGGTTGCCTCAGTGGGCTTGAATACCAGCTCCATTCCTTCATTTTCAAAAAATATTCGTTCGCTCGGATTGATAACTTGATCGTCCTGAAAAAAAATTACTTCGATTTTATTGGCGTTACTTTTTGCTACTTCTAAAAAATATATATTTTGTCAAATTTGTTATTTTCAAGGCATTTAAATGGTCAGTACCTACTACTAAGTGAACTAATAGTTTTTACCTTAAACCACTGAATAGTGGGTTTAGGAATTCCACTGGCATTACAAAATAGCGTTTTATCCATTTTTGGATACGCGATTAGGATTTCGTTTAGTAAATTAGTGGCTAACACTGCAGGTTTTTCTGGAACTAAAAACATACTTTTTCCAGTTTGTTCTCATTATTTCCACTTAAGGTAATTTACCTTTAACCGTTAACGTTATGTTGCGATATTCATAGGAGAAGTCGTGCCAATTATGAATTCTGCACGTATATATTCCGGAATCGGAAATTTGTACGTGCTTTAACAGTACGGACTTATTTGTTGATAACTCGCTGTCTGCAGTATTTTGAAAATGTCCTGCAATTAATAAGTTAAGTAATATGAATAGATATTTATTTGCAAAAGGTGATTAACTTTATAGAGTTGCGGGTTGAATATTGTATAGTATTGATAGCAAATATAAGAGTCTGGCTGAAAATTTATAAGAATCTTGATTCTTGAAAAGACAATTTATTTCGCCGAAAATCTTCGAGAATATATTTTGGAAATTAATAATAATTTATAACACAAACCAATTTTTAGACTATCGTCTGGTCTAGTTGTCTGAAAAGTGTTTCTTAATTATTTGGACATTGTCAAAAAACCGGTTTGCATAATAATCTTGATCGTACAAATTTTCAAAGAAAAGTTTAAAGTTGACAGAAATTTCGGTTACAAAAAAATCATTTATATTGATATTCGTAATTGTTTATCCATTTAAATTTATTACAACAGTTTTCTACACTTACGTTCGTCTAACGGCTCACTGTTGAACAACACGCTTAATTCCGCAGATTTTTTTGGGCACACACCACAAGTGAATGTGAATCTTTCATTTTCTGCTACAATAACTTCGACTGAGGTTTCGTTCATATTGACTATAGCATAGGGCCCAAAATTGAATACATCGAAGCCACCTTTTACATCTGTAATTATGTAAGTTTCTTGTGAGGTAGCATATTGAACCAAAAGTTACCAACAGCTCAATTGTTTAATAACATAACAATTAATGTATGAATATAGTGATTACCTCATTCATTTTATTCCACATTCATAAGAATTACTAAATATTTAAAAATAATATATACTTATTGATTGTTATAAATATTTTTTCATAAAAAAATTCGATTTTTTAATATTTATCTATTTAAATTTTGCATTATTATTTCAACTATTATTGATTCAGTATTCAAAAGCCAATATGGACAGTAAATAAATTCTTACTTAAATCATTAAAAATTGAACATTTTTAATTCCGAATGATTAGATCGATTAATGCTTTACTTGCATTCTTATAAAGTATAAAAGTAGGACTACTAAAAGTGCATTCAATTCAGTCGATGTTATCGAATTTTTTGCGCAAACTGAAATTTTCAAATCTACATTTTATTAAAAGATAATACATTTTCCACGGGCCATAATTTTGCTCTAATTACTACTTAACGCAACTTTCTTTTATTCACCTGATATATAATATTGGCTTGATACTTCGGCACTTCCCAGATAATTAGACGCCAGACACTTAACTTTACCGTCTGTGGAAGTGTCTATAGTGTAATTCGATTTGGCTGAGTGCAACTCAGATGCCGATACAGTTTCCTCAGCTTCCTAAAAATCACACACTTTCCTACATATTTTGCGATGTTGATACGAAACTCATTAAATAGGGAAGAAACATGACAGACTTGAGTCTTCTAACAAACTTACTAACTTTAGAAAACTGGCAATTTCCACCAGCTTCGCACACTATTCGCTGCCAGCTAATGAGATCAAGTGGATTCCCTGTAGCTGTGCACTCCAAAATAGCTTCCGAGTTAACGTAAAAAAAATTGGGAACATTTTCCTCTGAGGTTGTGCATGATTGTCCCAATATTGTCACACAGACTGTTGGTTTTGCTGTATTAAAAAGTGCAATAGAATTAAACAAAAAACCAAAATACACCAACATAGTTTAAACTATGCAATAGTTCATTATTAGCTTGAATTAATGGGCTTACAGAAAGTAAAATTGCTTTAAACAGAATCTAACAGAATCTCGCTGTTGAAGTTTTTTTCTTATTGAAAGTAAAGTTTGAAAGCATTATCCAAACACTGAATTTATGATATTTTAATTTGATTAAATAGGTATGATTATTTTATTAACATAAACTTTTTTGTAACATTTCATTAATTTTTTTGCATTGATTTTCATTAGATGGTCCTTTCAACACTTACCTTCGACATCCAACATTACTTTAATTTCAGCGGATTCTGAGCAGTTTCCAGTTGCATGTTCGCGACGTGAAATAGCTCTTAATTTATATAAACCAGCATTTTCTAGTTGAACATCCGCAATCGTGAGTATGGCTTGGCTATCAATAAAGTCGCCACTGTATAATGAATTGTTTTTGATTATATTATTTCTGGGATCATACCTAAAATATGCAATAATTTATATTTGCGTTATTCACTGAATTGAAGACTAACTTACCATGTTAGGTTTGGTATCGGATGACCAACTACATTCACAATCCACTGCACTTTTTCATTGGCATTGACGGAAATTGTTTGGGTCTCATTACTTTCCTTAATTTCAATGTAACACTCGTTTTTATCTAGAATTTTTAAAAGGTTTTCGTTATTCTTAAAGTTCGGACCCATTTGCTTCGCTTCTGCTTAAAAACTTATAATTATTGTGTATTTATGTGACAAAAATATTTTCTGGAGATATTCCTTTAAGAGCTTCTGAAAGAAACAGCTCCTGTCTCAAGCCAAATATTTGTTCGAAAAAAACCAAATAAAATAATTCTGATTTGTTCCTAGGAATGATTGGGAAAAGCTTGCAATTAGAGACAAATTTCATTTAAAATCAGAATTAATAATCGAGGATGTAGGATGTTTAACGCATTGCAAAGAACAAATAATGTGTGTGTGATATGCTTCTCTATTTTAAAAGCTGATTAATATTCTGCATTATTTGGATATTTAAATTCGAAGGAAATTGAACAAAATCTATTATTATTCCTGGTCAACCAACTCGTATTTATTTCTTCGATCTTTTCTGTTCCCTCTCCAACAAGTTGCAAAAATATTTGATAGAACGAGACGTAAATCTATAGCGTGAGCTTCATATTATTCTAAGTTCACTTCGGTGGCAAATTATTGCAATTATTTGACGGAATATATACTTACTATGAACCATTATGTCTATAAGGGTTGTTTCAGAATGGTGTTGATAATCAAATACCCTGCAAACATACGTTCCAGTATCTGCAAGAGTGCTGTTCTTAATCGTTATAGTTGAAACTAATGTTTGGCGATCTTTTGTGTACATATTATCAGCTACTTTTACATCGCCTGAATTATTCTTAAACTGAAAAATTAAATGTTTTTTTAATTAACTTCAAGAAATTATCATAATTGCATTTAGGTAGTATTGAAAATTGATTTAAAATGAAAAATTAAAACTAATCTGAAAGACTTTAGAATTAAGCAAAAGTGAAAATGTTCGATCGGAAGCTATCGAGTTTCAAATTATTTGGCATGATATTTTACTTTAAGTTAAAAGGTTTAGTGTTTTTATTGATGTCAAATATCAAACTATTTTTGTAGTTTAAGCTTAAAACTATAAAAAATGTGTTTTTATCATAGTCAGTTAGTCAAATACAAATTTTTATTTTCCCCTTTTGTTTGTGATCTCGTTAAACATTTGCCTATTACATTATCAAAAAGAAGGCCGTTAATTTTGAATCACCCATTATAACTATTACAATTTGTTCATACACCCATACATTTTGAAGACGAATTAAAAATGGAAAAAAAAATTGTAACGGCGAAGTAAGCATCTGCATGCAAAACGTTACTGTTTACTGCCGTTAAGGCATATCTTTGCAGATAATAATACGCAATAAACTTGAATTTATTCACAAAAGAAACTTTATACCAAGTTTAAAATGCATAAATTGCAAATAATGCAAGTGAAGCGAAAATATGTAAATACTTATTATTGCAATATTCTGTGTAGTTTGTGGGCTTTTTGTTTTGTATATTACCGACTATAATTTGCAAAGAATCGTCTCCCAAAAACAGTAAAACAACTTCTGGCTATATAATTAACAACTCAAAGCATGGAAACATCTACATGTTGTACTCACATTGAAAGTTCCTCTTGGTGTAGTCCAATGAAAATTGATGGAAATCGCTCGTTCTTCCAAAGAACAACTTAAGTTTATGGAGTCTCCAACTTCAGTATGATTATGCGACGCATCGATTATTCTGGGAACTGCCAATCTCATCCTGGGAGCTAAGGTTTAAGTCAAATTGATTATAATAAAATTATCTAGCGTCCAGACAGATAAGAGAGAAAGCACTAATCAAAAACTATCTACAGCCAAGCAGAATTCGTTAGGAGCTTAGTTGCAAGAACAGACAGACAAATTATGAGTGCAAATATTTTAAGCAAATTAGCTTACTAAACATAATTCCATAGATTTGTTTTTGCAAAAGTATAATGCTCTATCTCTATAACTAATATCATGCTGATTTGCTTTAAATAAAATTCGGGATATATCAGGATTGACGGTCATTCTACCAGCTGCCTTTTCATGAAGATTAATAGTTAAAAATAGATTTTTTCAAATATATTGGTACGAATTCAGCAGCATGTGGATTCAGTTCAATTCCGACTGCATTCAAAGCTTGCTCATGTATAACAAATTTTAGTGAAAAAAAGTGGTTTTCCATTTCGTCATTTTATGATTTTTACCTGCTATTTTATCACAAAAATTATATTGAGTTCATTAAACAGCTTTTTATTAATGATCTAGCTTAACGCAGATAAACTTGTATTTCTGGAATATTTTTCTTTATCGAGTCAAAAAAAATAGTTTACTTTAAGGCGATATGTGATTCTGTGAAATTCTTCTTGCAATGACGAAAAATTTGAATTTTGCATGAAAAACATTTAGACCTTTATTTACATTGGCTTTCGAAAGAATGCAAAAACCTTCCCAGCGATACACTTTCCATCCAAATGGACTTTGCTCGATTGGCACAAAGAATGAGTCCCACGTGATTCTACCGTCCTGTTTATTGCAGCTTTAGCGCCTAAGAAAATCGGATTTATTGCAAAACAAGTTTGAAATAATTCGTTGTAAAAGCAGCCCTTGCTGGGACTTAGGAACAACCAATTGCTCGTAGGGCTCTTCTAGAGTTTATTATATCCGAAGACATTTATTCGCAAACGTTCTTACTGAAATTGGCATTCAAGTGCGTTATAACGTGAACAACCTTTGATGATAAACTTTATTTTTAAGTGAAACTCCTGGTTTTCTTAACTGGAAATAAGCAAGCCATATTACCAATAGTGAGATAAGCATAAAAAATTGAGAGTGTCTGGTAAACATAAAAATATTAAAATTGAGAACGCCTTAAAAAAATAGTGTCCCGATCAGAAGTAATCCTTAACTTTATGATAACATTGCACCAAAAAACAATTTAAGCAAGTAAAGAAATTCGACAAAACATTGAACCTTCACCGATCAACTGCTTGTTTACTTACGGTCCATTTCGAGATATAATAATTTTTCTGTAATAGTTATGTCATTTTCCCGTTGGAAAGAGCAATAATAAATACCCTGCATCTTATGGCGGAACTCTTTGAACGTAAATCCAGTTTTCGGATTAAATTCAGAATGTATCTACAAAATAATGATTACAGAAGATGGAACCCAAGGCAATGCAAGTGTTGAACTGTTTGATGCAGCACATTATGTGATAAAACATGCATTAAAAAAATTTACAGCTTTAGTGTTAATTAAGATGATTTTATTTGAATTGTATATTATGTATGTTTATTTCTTTCTACTTTATCTCAGACGTATACATTCACATACTTTTCATTGGACTAATGATAGATTTTTAAATTCTAATGTTTCGGTTTTAACACGGCAGCCGAACCCGAAACAAAAACACACTTATAAACCGTGAGAGATCGGTTTATAAATACGATGAATTTGGTTGTCTCAGCATCCAAACAAATATAAAAGTTGTCTTCTTCAAAAATACTCGCTTTAAGTCATCCTATAATAATATTCAGTTGATGTTCTCTTGTTGTATTCTAATTAACTGGAAAAGATAAACTGACAAGGACTTTCAAGATTCTTTGAGCACCAACTAAGATCTCTAAAAGTGTAGAAATACTGAAATTTTACCAGTAGAAATATGCGCAAATATTTCATCTGGAAAATATTTAGCTTGAGTGGGCTTTAATGTCGGCGGAAAATCTGCTCTCGCTGATAATCAAACCTTCAAGCGTGAGGCATATTTAGCAGAATAAAGATTATTTTAGCATAATTTACTCTTGGCATGGAATAGAGTAGCCGGAAAAGTTTTCATTTCTATGTGCATACATTAGTAATATGGAAAAGCGGTTCTAATTTAAACTCTTTGATTTTGATAACCCACATATGACGCCGATAGCAAGCAAAATAAATCAGTTTTACCCATTTTGTAAACTAAACTCATGTCTCCAAAATACACCATTTTTCCACTGCTTTTTACTTTCCAACTGAAGTATTTTCGAATTATTTTTTCTTGCAAACTCAATTTAGATGATGGCATGTTGAAAGTGTTGTAAGACAAATTAAAATTATGTTTTATAATTTAATTATGCTTCGGGAGAGGCGCATGTTGACATCATAATTAAAATAATTTAACACAGGTTTTGAATGAGGGTAAGGTTGACGCTGAAATATTAAATTAAATAATAACTTGTGTCTTTAGCTTAGAAAGTGACGCAGTCTGTATTTACAAAGAGGTAAAAATAAAAATATTGCAAGTTTATTCCAATTTTAATTTCTTTTGATAATATTGCAGCAATAAATGACTTAGATAATCGAATTGTTTTACAACAATTATGAAATTTTGTAAATTTAACTTAAACATACATGTGGATGTATATGACCCTTAAAATTTTATAACAATTTAATAACGCTTTAATATTAAATATTCAGCTAAACCATGATCTAAACAATTATGAGAAAAACAAGTAAATCGTTTAATATAAATCATGAAAGGGTTGTTCAATTAAAATGGCTCGCAATGCGGAAATTTAATGTTAAATCTATGAAGTGAATGCTAAATTTAATTTTATAATTTAAACTTTACTGCGGTTTTAATAATCATATTATTACGCGCGAGCTTCGATGCCACTAAAAGTCTTTGATCTAGAATCGCAAAAGAATAGCAAAGCAGTCACTAAAAGTCTTATCAATATATAAAGAGTTTGAATAAAATTAATTATCGCGCTATTAAAATTAAAATTAAATGCCTTATCGGAGGTCTCGTTTAAGAAAAAAGTAAAATTACTTCTGTAGAAACATGATGGTTGGATGTAATATATTTACATTGGTTATT